ATATATATATATATATATATATATATATATATATATGTAGGTGTGTGCTGCACACACACACACACACAGGCATATAACGCGATAATATGCATGCGTGTGTGAGCACACGAGTTCCGTGTGTATGCGCGTACACACAGGTACGTTCTTCTTTTTTTTTTTCCTGATTGTGAGACCGAGAACACGCTGATATCTTTTCAGTCCAAGCTGTCGCGCAGCTGGGCTAGACTTGAAATTCTTAGTGTGTATCAATGTGCTTTATGTCCTTGTTCCTGTTCTTGTCCATGTCCTTTTGGATGGGTCAGGGCATGATTCGGCTGAGATTGATGGGACTGTAGAGAGGCATGCTACTTCTGCTCCAACAAAGCAACCTGTTCCCGCCCCGCGACACTCTACCAGGTCGTCCATCAAAACAGACTTTCATCTAGACTTCGGCGATACCACCTCGTGCACGCAAGCGTACAGTCCCAAGCGTAAGACGAAAGAGCAATCGAAGCCGCTTCGGCAAGACCGTTCCCCGGAAAAGAGCGCTGCGAAAAGCAAAATACCCGTGAAGGTAAAGAAATCCGTAGAGAACGAAACGACAACGACGACGACGACGACGACGACGACGACTACGAACGAGACCGAGACCGAGACCGAGACCGAGTCCGAACTACGTAAAACTACGAGTTTCATATCGAACGACTCGCAGCCGGACGTGACGACAGACTCCCTTGCCACTGCACAAGGCTCGACAGACTTACCGTCGGCGGAACGAACCACCACCGACAGCGAGAAACTGCTGCAAGACCTGTCGCAGAGATCGCTCGGCGAGAAAGAGGCGCGACAACCGGAAGAAGACAAGGAGAAGAGCGACTCGGCGAAGCCCGAGGTATCGAACGAAACGCAAACGACAACTCGAGCGGCGGATACGCGCGATGCCGATCTGTTGGAAGCAACAAAGAGAGTAGAGATCACTGCGAAGACAGTGACGGAGGTGGTGAAGGAGGACGACAGCGAAGAAACGGACTCGTCTCCTAGACCTCGGGCTATATTCGACGCGAGGGAGAGCGAAACGACTGGTGGCGCAATGGTGTCGAAGACGACGACGAGCGTGGTGGAAGAAACGTGGTCGGGGGGTGAGACGGTGAGAACGACGACGGTGACGACTGTACGGTGCTCGACGAACCCGGACACGGAACAAACCGGACGAACGATACGAACGACCGCGACGTCGTCGGCTAGCGGCGATTACGGAGACGTGCCGGTGCCGGTTGTAAAAGGCCGCGACGGTCTGCCGTTCGACGTGCTCGGCCAACAGCTGTCGACGAAAGCGGCAAAGAACGCTGGCGAGACGTCCGAGCCCACGTGGGCCCACGGCAGCGTGACGACGGATCGTCGTTCGTTCCAGAACGACGAGAAATTAGTAGACCGATGGGGGGAGGGCCAGCGCTCCCAAGACACGTCGCCCGGTTCCGGTAACGGCGACGTTTACGCTAAAAACGATAGCTCACGGCACGATTTAAACAGCGACACTGAGAGTGACGGTTCACCACGATCGAGGAGAAGATCGCCAAGCAAGAGGTGTACATTGGACAGTTCCAGCGGGTCTGATGTAGCACTGCACGAAGGTGCGGAGCTGTCCCCGTTGGAGGACGACCAAGGTACCGCACTCACAGCTAACCTTCTAAGTAAGCAATGTACATATCCCGCTAACCGAGTTACCCTCAGAGACAGTCAGATCCGAGAACTTTGTGAAACTTTGTTCGGTGTGTCTCTGTGTGCTTCTTTTTCTTTTTTTTTCTTTTTTTTTTTTTTTCCTCTCTTGTGGTACCTTGTTGGCGCTGCTTCGTTTGCATGCAAACCCGCAAACTACCCCTTCCGTTTGCCAGTTCCGTTCCAGTCCCTGCCCAACGTTGTCACGATGCTTGCACGATATTGCTCTCTTTCTTTCTAGAATTGAACGTTCCATTACGATTGTCAATAATGAGAAATGAAGTACATGTTTTGGTGCTTGGGAAAAATTAAAAAAAAGAAAAGGGAAAAGTAGACCGACAAATAAGAACGTTAGGACGAGATACAGAGAATCGAGAAATGTTGAACGCGACACGATCGTTCGAAAATTTAGTACGAACTAAATGAAAGTTGAGCCTTGATATGTGATTTTCTTGAGGCGAAAAGGACGACTGCATCAGTGGCAAAGTTGCATACACCTGTGCATCATCCTTTTTTTTTTGTGGACACACAGTGTTGCATGATATCGAGAGCTTGCATAACAACAATGTAACTCGAGGTGTATGTGCACAAGCTGGAAGGACATTGATCGGTGTAAAATCGATCGATAATAAGCAATCGCGAGGAAAAACAAAGCTTGTAAAATGCAGCCGCGAAATTTGTATACTTGTGTGGTTCTCTTATTTTGTCGTGGAGTTATCATGTTGGCAATCGGTTCATTGTGCTTCGTTCAAAGAGAAGTTCTCCCCCCTCTTTCTTTTCCTGCCTCTTCGTTGGTTTTGGTTAATCGTGAAAATCTTGGTTATCGTTGGTTTTGGCAACGGATAAAGTTGCGACCGGCTGCTTCTGGGACTAGCATACTTTCCACATCGATGTTCATTCGTGATCAAAGCCATCGTACCCGATGTACTTGTGTGAAATTACACGTGTAAAAAGAAATATCGTATTTGCTTTGCTCGCGGAGAAAGAGAGACGAGATGAAACAGTATTTAAATGTTATGTTAATTTGAAAGTTGACGATAAATTTTCGTTAAATCTAATTAATTCAAATCCAAACTAAACTTGTAAAACATTTTTGCAAAATGTATGATATTGCTTTTTAAATCTTATGAAATTCCACATCCACGTGCAAATGCATCGAAACGAAACACGAGATAACGATGGTACGTACATACGTTCGTCATTAAATGTCAAAATTTTTCCGACCCATCGAAAACCACAAGCTCTCGAAGTCGCATTAATCGGGTGATCTTTGTAACTCATTGGCTACATCGTGCCTCATACCT